ACGTAGCATAAGGTTATAAATTACTGATCATTTCAGAGCAGCATTCAGTGTCAGGGATCTTGATTGGTAGACAGCGTATACCCTGTATACTATACGCAGTCATTAAGAAAACTAGAAGGCAGGAGAAACTCTGCTGTCACTGTATGCATGCTAAGGGTGAGGGATTGCTGCAGAATCAATTGCAAAGTGCAAGTGAATGGCTACTGTCTCTGCATGTTCATCCAAGAGTGAGTTTTGCAAGTTTCCTTAGATGGAAAACTTTTTCTGTCCGGATGATTTATTTGAATTTTATATGCAAAGGGATTTGAAGTGAAAAGTGAAATGCAAGCGAATGTCTACTGTCTCTGCATTTTCATCTAAGAGAATTGAATCTTGCAATGTCTTGCAAAGTCACTGGATGCAATCAGTGGGCTTTCCTTACCTGGAAGACTTTTTCTGTCCGGATGATTTATATGAATTGTCTCTGCAAAGTGAATTGAGATTATGTGTATAGTCCGTTATGAATAAATACAACTGAAAATGTCAATGACCATAACCAGATCGTTTTGAAACACAGCAAATCACTTCTTATCAAGTGTACAGGGAAAAAAAGACAAAAAGAAACAAAATCGATAGAAAACCAATCTGAAACTGAAAGGTTCCACAAATAGTAGTAATGGAAAAATACAGTAATATCTGCTCTTTTTTTCCTGCATAGTTTAAAAAAAAAATAAAATATGCAGGAAGATACAGGGGCATCAAAAATATTGACGCCTCTGTATCAAAAAATACTTTTTTCCACTCGATGAGCATATTCTGATTGCCAATCTGATACGCGATCATCCCAAAAACAATCAGTTAATCCCCTTGGTGAGATCTGACTAAAACCAAACACCAAACATACCCATAAATGAGATTTTAAAACAGAGACTTTACTTACTGCTTCGGAGCTCCTGCTAGACGTCAACCAAAAAAGAACTAATCTAGGGTTTTTAAATGATGCTGAATCAGTAGGCGTGTTTTATAAAGAAATCTGACCCTTAAAGAGACATTGACTCTAACCAATCCAGGAGAAACAGACAGAATCAGAGCTAGACTGTGGGACGGGGCTGTCATTGCAGAAATTTAAACATGCAGAAACTTTTAAAGAAAAAAACCCTTTGTAATGATTCACACCTTTATATGTTGTAGGTTAATCATCCTTACTTGTTTTAATTACTCCCTGTGTTATTTACCTCTGTCCAGTGGTCATCATTAACCTTTACCTTTTTGGAATAACTGTGACCTGGATGACTGAGAATCTTCA